AGGACAGGGACTGAGGGGTTCGGAGCCAGGGACAGGGAACTGAGGCTCGGACACTGGGGATGAGGAGACAGGACGGGGGGACAGAAGATAGGAGAAGAGGTATAGGGCAGGGAGGAGACAGGGCAGGGGACAGGGGTGGGGACAGAGGACAGAGAGCAGAGGGACACAAGGTCGCAGGATGAGGTTCAGGGCAACGAGGATCAGAGAACAGGACTGGGTTGGGGGGAAGATGGGAATGAGCGGCAGCAAGTGAGGGTCTTGGAAGTGGGCCGGGCTGGAGGGTTGGAGGACTGGGGGAGAACGAGGAACAGCAGCCAGGGGGTGACAGCCAGAGGGGAGGCAGCTTTGGTGGGCACTGGGCAGAAGGAACCAGTGAGGAGGGGGCTGAGAGGGCTGCAGACAGAAAGGCCCTGGAGAGCTGGGTCTTGTCCGGAGTCAAGGCTGGGGCAATCTGGTCACTCAGGGGACACAGGATGGGCGTGAGGGCTGAGCAGTCGGAACCAAAAGGGTCAGGGTCTCCACACACCTATGTGCAAGCGTGCACACGCGCGTGCACACACACGTACATCTTAGCCCCGCTGGACACTCCAGGTCCGGCTCAAGATGCCACCCTAGGTTCTGCTCCTCATGCCAGCCCCTGCCCTGGACCTCCTCTGCTTTTGCAGCTCTGCCAGGGGGAGGCTAGACCTGGTGCGCTGTGCAGGATCCTGGGACTGACATCCTGGGTCCAGAGCTGTGTTCTCACGCTGGCAGGATGAACTTCCAGATTCCAGGAAGCTCCAGAGCCAGTGTTCCTCATCCACGCTCAGATATACCACAGATCCACCCCCTCACACACGAACGGCTCACAGAGATGCAGTCATACCCACAACCAGACATGCACAAACAAACACATGTTAGGATTCACACACCTAGACCCAGGCCTGTAGAGACTCATGTGCATGGACAGCCCCCTCCCCACGCCATAGTCAGATGCACGGAAATGCGGCCAGTACACATGTGCACACATATACATGTAAAGATTCATGCACATGAAAATATGCACATCCATGGGCAGACAGCACACATATAAAAAGACCCTCAAACTTGCATTCATGTCCACAGAAATGCATGTGCACAGAATAAACGCACACAGACATGGATAAACTCATAATCTCCAATGAAACAGGGGCCACGCAGGGAGCAGGGACCATAGCAAGGGAGCTGAGGGGAAGAGTGCACAAGGGGCCTGGGAGCTCTTGGAGCTGTGGCCTGAGGACACAGTTTTCCCAGGGTTGGGTGGGGAGAAGGGGACAGTTTCTTAACCCAGCAGGATTCTGAAGGGCCCACATCAAGGCTCTGGGCATTGGGTGGTGCATCCCCAGCTCCTTGCTTCAACTCTCTTCTCCAGCGAGGAGCCAGCACCCTCCAGAATCCCAGGCTGGCAAACCCCAGAGCCCCTGGGGAGGGGACTTTGACCAGGCTCCCGAGCAGAGGATGGACCATTAGCCTGGGAGAGAGGCTGTGTCCAGGGAGGGGCGACAGTTGGGGAAGAGGCAAGGTCTCAAAGAGAGGAAGGGGGGACGTCTGTCAAGGGTGAGAAGGAGGGAGACGTTGTCCAAGGGCCAGGCCATACCTATCTGATCAACACAGCAGGGTACCCATGGCTGGACATGGGTTACCCACACAGGTCTGACAGTCCTGGGTGGAGACCTGGGGCATGGGTTCCACGTAGAACATCCAGGAGTCCCTGGGCTGGTGCAGAGCCAGGATCGGCCAGGGAGACTGTTGGAACTCAGGGAGGGGGCTCTTTTCCCAGCTGGGGTCCTGCAAAGGTAACAGTGCCCCAGGGTGCCCAAGTGCCCATATGCCAGCTCCCTCACAGTGCTGGGGACAGTTCTACACCTGCAGAGATGCCCCTGAGCCCCACCAGGCTCGAAGCCTTATCACTCTGTGGTGTGGATTATCCACCACTTTGGGGTGATCTCCAAGGCATTCACATCTTGGCTGATATCCCCTGGCCACCCCGAACTCTCCAGCCTCACCGTCATGCGCTGCGTCCTCAGGGAATGTAAATCAATTTAGGTATTAGTCTCAGCGAAATGGAATGGGGGAAGGTGACAGTGCTGGAGAAAAAAAGAAATCGCATAATGCCTTCCACAGTCGAATAGGAGAGGCTTAGGAATTATCTGTGCTTCTCAGAGCAGGAGAGGGACCCGTTTGATCCCCCAGAGCAGCCTGGCAAGTAGGCCCAGGAAGGATGCCTACAGACATCTTGCTGATGAGGAGACCGAGGCACAGAGGGGTTAAATGGTTGCTTCACTGAAGGCCCTAAGAGACCATGGGTCCAATCCTCCCACTTACAAGTGGGGAGACAGGCCCAGAGAGGGTCATTGACTTCACAGATGTCACACAGACCTGCAGTCCAGCAGTGCAAGAGGCAGGAGAGAGCCCAGCCCAGGTGAGCAGAAGGGTTGGAATCTCCAAGGGGGTTCAGGCCCAAGCTGGATGGGCATAACGCTGGAATTCTCTCCAGCCCTGATGAGCCCTCCTGTGGGCCTGGAGCTTCCCGTGAGAGACACTCTGTGTTCCTCCCACAGAAGGGGACATGAGGTAGGGAAGAAGGGGACAGAGGGGGAGGAGGGGAGGGGATGGACAGAGAAGGGTCTGGAGGGAATTGGAGCAAGCAGCCCTGGAATCCTATAACTCCTCCTGAATCCAATAGAATCGACTTCTGACTTATTTTTGGATTATCTGAGCCCCCTGGCTGACTGATCAGGAAGCAGCTGCAGGTGTGGTTGGGAATTTCCAGAGGGGAGGGAAGGGTCTAGAAAGTGGGGTCTGCAGGCAGTTGCCTCTAGAGTCAGGGTGTTCATGGGGAGAAGTCCCAGTGGGGGACATTCATTGCCCCTGGGTAGGGGCAGGTCTGAGCTGTATCCGGGTGATGCTGGCGAAGGGCTGAGACCCCATCTGGGATGTGGGTAGGGCGGGGGAGCCCACACGTCCCCTTTCCCCACCCTCTCCCCAAACTGGGCCCTGCTGGTCTGGGGGAAACTGCAGTGCGGCCCCCTCCCCCTCCCCCCAGCCAGCAGGATGAGAGAGCTGCCTGACCCAGTTTTCTCTCCATTGCCTGAGAGGGAGGGAGGGAGGGAGGGAGGCGGGAAGGCTTCTCTGCCTGTGCCCCTGGCATGGGGCCGGCTGGGCTCGGGGAAGGGAGATCCCTCTGCGGACACTAGCTCCATCCCCTGATCCCACCTGGCCCCTGGGGACCTGGGGGGAGGACTTCAGAGGCCCCTTCCTGGTTCGGGAAGTCATCTCTCCAGCCAGCCTCTGGGGCCCCTGACAATGGGTGGGGAGGGTGAGAGGAGAAAGAGGAAGAAAAACAGCGAATAAGAGCATCCTCACTCCTACATTTCCTGAGGACACTTGTCTCCATCTTTGAGGGGCAGGCGCAGAGCTATGCAAATCGCAGGCAGAAGGACACCCAGCCTGTCTTTTGGAAAGTTCCAGGAGGGCCCCGTGTGAACCCTCTGTGACCTGCCGGAGTCTGCAGATTGGGTTGTTTGGAAGCCCCTGGTTGCTGGCTGGGAGAGGGGGTACATAGAAGAGAAAGTGAAATGAAAGCTGTGGACATTGGAGCCCAAAGCCCTTTCATTGGCTAGATCAAAGGAAGCAGGGGCCCAGAGAGGGGAAGGGACTTACCCAAGGACACACAGCAGTTAGAGACAGTGCTGAGATTCAAGGCCTGCTCTTCACAGTTTAGTGCATCTTTATCACCTTAAAGTGAGTGGGTGGCTACTAGGTTCCAAGAGAGAGGCAGGAGGGCCAGGCCTTAGGGAATAGGAACCAGCTTTGGTAAGGCATTGACTCCAGGCTTTACAGTTTACCCTCGCCCACCCTTACGTATTATTATCCCCATTTTACAGATGAGGAAATTGAGGTTCGGTGAAGTGCAGGTCACCTGCTACCAAGTAGCTGTATTGAGATATGAGCCCAGTGATGTCTGATTCCGAGGGCAGACTCTTTTCTCCACCCTGTTGTTGGTACTTTGCAGGGTCCCCTTTGAGGGTCTGGCTTAGAGTAAACTTGCCTTTCAGGCCAGCGCTCCTTCCAACCACAGTGACAGCCCAGAGGTTCTGCTCCTTGGGCTCAAGCTACCAGGGCTGGTGGCCTTGTCTGTGGTGCTCTGGATGCCAGCCCTGCAGCTACCCCTGTGGGGCTCCAGGCACGTTCCTGATCTTCACCGAGGCTCAGTGTTTTCATCTGGAAAATGGAGATAAGAATGAACACCTTTCAGCCGTGTTGTGCGGGCCACAGACGAGGCATCTCAGGCTCCCCTAGCAGAGCCCAGCACATAGCAGCTCTTCCTATGTCTTCCTCTGTCCTTTTACGAGCTACGAGGCAGCTCTTCCTCCTCCAAGACCCTCCACGTCCCGTGTGCACAGAGGACCTGTTGGTGCGAGGCACCCACTGGGGGACACTGGTGATGGGAAAGCTGGGGCCAGTCCTCTGGGGGGAGGTTTGACCTAACAGCGTGAACGTCGGTGGGTGCTTTTGAATGCCATCATGTCCCATGAGTGGCCCAGGGTCAGGTCATCTTCACAAGCCCCTGTAAGGCAGGCATCACTGTCACCCCATTTTAGGGGAGGAAATGGGGGCTTGGGGAAGGGAGGAAACTTGCTCAGGGACACACAGCGTCTAACTGACAGAGCTGGGATTCTGACCCAGGACCCCTGGACTGCTAAGCCCAGCTCCTAGCCACCCTACTGCACTACCAACCAGGGTAGCCTAGCACTCGGGGCAGCTTGTGTTCTGAGAGGTGAGAAGATTATGTTTTGGCTGTGATGGTGGAAGAAGGCTTCAAGGAAGAGAAAGAACTTGAACTGAGCCTTGAAGGATGGGGAAGTGAGAAAGGACCCAGAGACTGGAGCTGGCGTGTTTGGGCTGAGAGCAGACCAGTGTGGCCAGGCTGGGCTGGTCCTATGGGACTGGGGAAGGGGGGCCCAGGGGTCTGATGTGCTCTTGTTTCCTGTTCTACAGTGAATTTGCTGGACACATCGACCATCCATGGGGACTGGGGCTGGCTCACGTATCCTGCTCACGGGGTAAGTGATGGGCAGTGGGCCAGTGTTGTCCCTCTGAGCAGGGAGAGGCTGTGACTCACAGTCTTATCATCGGACAGATCAAAAGGAAGCAGAGGCCCAGAGAGGTGAAGGGACTTACCCAAGGACACACAGCAGTCAGAGACAGAGCTGCTGATTTCTTAAATTTAGTGCATGCAGATCTTTGGGATTCCAGAACCAACCCTAGTGCCGCCTCCCGATTCTCCAAGTCTGAGGCTTGGATGTGGGATGCTTATATCTGTGTCCCAGGCCCATCTGGCCTCCATGGTCTTGGCACTGTGCCTGGCACACGGTGCGCCCTCATTAAATGTATAATCATTATCATTGTTATTAGTGTGTATTATGGTTACATCTCAATAAATTTCCTCCTGCAAACGTGCTCAGAAGCACACACACACAAGCACGCACATCCCCACCATAGACACAAACGCATCATACACCCAAGACTTCTTTCATGAACACTTTGGCAGCCCCCATGTCTCTGGAGGCAGAGGGATAATAATATATTGATGATGATGATGATGATGATACTGAGCTGGTATTTGAATATTTCTTTACTTTGGGGTAAGATTGTCATCTGGGCTCTCTGTCGCCTGTGACTTGGGTAAGAATGAGCCCAACTCCTCTCTCTCTGGGGGTCTCGTCCCCAGGTTTCAGTAAGCTGAGTCTGCTGTCATCAGCCCCGGTGCATCAGGCTTCAGGGAGCTGGAGGGGCAGGCCAGGGGCCCCCGAGAGCCCGGAGGACCCCCTTCTCTGCCTGAGGACAAAGGCTGGGTCCTGGGATGTCCTTTTACCCCCAGGGCCTCAGTCTCTCCCTGTGAAGCACTCTTTTGTGTGTCCCACGTGGCTGTCTCCCGGGGTGAGCATGGGTGTGAAAGGGCTTTGGCACGGTGAACCAGCTCTGCTAGTGGCAGGGGCTGACCCGTGAGCAGGTGACTGCCTGGCTGTTGGCTGGGTCAGCATCTCCCCTGAGACCCAGCAGCTAGGAAGGAATGGGCCTGGCTCCTCGGCTTGGCTCTGGGTGTCTCTGTCCCTCTGTCCCACTCAGAGCTTAGGACTTGGTTTTTAGGGTAACAAGAAGTTGGAAGGGTTTTAAGCGGGGGGTGAGGAATATGGCCAGACTTGGGTTTTGGTCGATCACGTTGGTGATCTAAGGTTCTTTTGTTTACTGTGTGCTGTATAGAGGGGCTCAGGGAATTCCCTGGCAGTCCAGTGGTTAGGACTCCGCACTTTCACTGCTGAGGGCACAGGTTCAATACCTGGTCGGGGAACTAAAATCCTGCAAGCTGTGTGGCACAGCCAAAAAAAAAAGAGTGGCTTAGAGTTACCTCATTTTGTTTAGGAGTTAGAACAAATAACTTATATTCACATAGCTCTTAACAATTCATGGACATTATCTCATTTCATCCCCACTACCAATCCTGCAAGTGGGTGCAGCCACCCCATTTCACAGATGAGGAAGCTGAGGCTCAGAGCAATGAGAAAAAACTTGCCACCGTCAGACAGGTTCCAAGTGATGGACACAAACTCAGATCTCTCTGGGCCTGGAGCCCGTGTTGAGTCCCTTGTGCCACCTTGTGAAGGGGTGGGAACCAATGCTGCATTATCTGCTGAGCCAGGGACCACCTCCCATCATTATGGGGCCTGGAGATTGGGCTTGCCCAGAGAGGAAAGAAGGTTTCCAAACTCTAGATCTTGAACCTGTGCCAGGCTGGCAGGTGAAACACACAGATGCCCACATCCAGTGGGTCTGGGGAGGGGCCTAGGAATCCTTTGTTTAATAAGTGTCAGCTGGGTGGAGAGTGATGGTCCTTGAGGTTCCATCCACCCTCTGATTCTGGAGTTTGTTAAGCACCCTGGGTAGCAGGGTCATCCAGGGCTGTCTCCAGCATCACAGAGTTATCAGATTGTCCGCCATGCCACACGGCCTAAAGCCAGCGGTGCTGGGTCTGAACGAGCTGGTGCTCTGCCACCTCTAGTCAGTGTGACTCAGGCCAGTCGCTTTACCTCGCCTCCACCTCCTCGTTTATAACACAGGGATGATCACAGAACCTGTTCCATGCAGTTTTCATCCGTGAGGTGATGCAGGAAAAGGACGATCGTACTGGCAAGAAACCAGATGCTCTGAGAGGTTAAGCATCTCTGCTAAGGTCAGGAGAGTCTGGACCCAGAATTCATGCTTTTAACCAGGCTGCGCCCCACTCTTTGGACCCCTCCTTCCACATACTGGGTGGTGCTCCACCTTACCTGGTGAATTAACAGCTCGTGAACTTCTTTCCTTTTTTTTTTTTTTTTTTGGGGCAGCGGCCCCCCCCCGTGTC